TATATGGGGAAGAACAAGTCAATAAGAGAAAATGACCCTTTGACTCAGCCCCAGGGTTGAATCCAATCCTGGGCCATAGTTATATATTGTTAGGAGCCAGCTAGATAGTGCAATAGATAGAGTGCTGGGCCTGGAGTCAGGAAGACCTGGATTCAAATCTGACCTCAGACACTTAATAGCTGTGTGATCCTGGACAGGTCATTTAACCTCTTTCTGCTTCAGTTTCAGTTGTAAAATCCCCTAGGACTAGTAGCACCACCCTATGGCTTAAATTCCCTCTGAAAGATAAAACAGACCTTGGGGGCTGCTGAACAAGCAATTTCCTTCTCATCAGATCTGGACTAGTAATTTATAGGAATAGCAGGGGATGGAAAGATCTGTTACCTGTCTACAAATGGCATGATTTTAAACAACTTAACCCTTAGAGGTATTGGGAGGATTACTGCAATAATATTTGTAAAGTGCTTATCACAATGTCTGGCACATAGTTATTGTTCATCTTTCATTTTCTTTTCTTTTCTTTCTTTTTTTTTTGTGTGTGAAGCAATTGGGGTTAAGTGACTTGCCCAGAGTCACACAGCTAGTGAGTGTTATGTGTCTGAGGCTGGATTTGAACTCAGGTCCTCCTGACTCCAGGGCCAGTGCTCTATCCACTGTACCACCTAGCTGCCCCCTGATACTTCCTTTTCAAAGATCAATGACATCATGGGGTGATAGCTTGACTCTAGTGTGAATTGGATTTGAGAGAGGCAAAGCTGTACAAAGCCACCAGCCTCACCTCTTCCAGTCATCAAAGTCCAGTGGCAAGACAAAAGTCAAGATGACTGGGTGATGGCCCAGGGCATAATGGATGACCTTGGCATCTTTGATATCTAACCAAGCCCTAAGAGCTCAACAGCACCTGCTTCAGCCTTCATGGCAGTGGGAACAAATTGTTCTCCTCTGCCCATTCTGCTGGGGGAAGTCTTGATATGCTTGACTCACAGACAGTTTTGAGGCCTGTCAGTTAACCCTCAATCTGGTTCAACCCATCTTCCGAAACAGTTTACTGGGGCATGGGTGCTGCACGTACTATAACTTCTTGAAGTCATAGGTAAGAGTTGGATGGCAGGTGGATACCAAAGGTGAATAAGCAGCCCTGAAAAGGGCTCAGTGGCCCTCACACCAAAGGTGCTAGTCCTCTCTGAACACCTCCTACACCTCACATAGTAGCCATAATAATTTATTATTCATACATACTTGTTTCCTTCTTTCCTTTTCCTGAGGGGAGGACATGGTGCAACTGATCATAATGTATGTCTTTTTTTGCTCTATGCTTTTCTATCTTATGAAAAGGGAAAGGGGAAAAGGTGATCCAAAAGAGCCTGAGCCATCTGTTAGCTTGTTTTTATAGATCATGCAGAGGGAAGGGATGCTCCTCTGATAAGAGACTTAGGGTTCCAGAGTCCTAATCTACTAGTAATCTTTTAGACAGATCCCTTAAGGGGGAACAAATCAAGAGCTTTGTGTCTTCTCAGTAAGGCCTCAGTAGTCACACCCATGTTCTCCATGGTGAGGTACCCTTCAGATACTTCCAATTCACCACCAAACAACAAGCATTTATTGAGTACCTACTATGAGCCAGCCCTTGCTTTAGGCAATTTCAAAGACAAAAATAAAATAGTTTCTACTGTCAAGTAGCTTATATTTCACTAAGGTTCCACGCCAAAGTCCACACAGTCTAACCTCTCCCAATCAATTGGGAAACTAAAATTTATTGGAGACTCTCTTGTTCAACCCACTTTGCACATATGTTTTCTTTTACTTCGTAGTGCAGAGATAATGTGACACATTAGAAAAAACATTGGATTTGAAGTCCTAAGAACTGGATTCCAATTCTGACTTTGCCACTTAGTAGGTGCATTACCTCAGGCAAGTCATTTCTCTGCTGCTTTTGGTTTCTTTATTTGTAAAATTAGGGGATTGGACTTGATGTTCCAATGTCCCTTTAAAACTCTATTCTATAGTCCCTATCCTCATGGAAAAAGTAGCGTCAAGTATTATTGTACCCTTTATTTAAAACAACCAGTTTAGTGTCTTGTCTAAGATCACAAAGATAATAAAGCAGTGGATTTAGAACTGCAACCCAGGTTTTCTGACTTTAATTACAGCATCAAAAAAAAAAAAGAAAAGAAAACCAAAACAAAACAAAACCCAACATGTAGCCAAGAATGTATCAGAAAGAATCAATCAAAAGATATGAATGAAAACCTACTATGTGACTGTGCTTTGGATTACAGTGCTTCTACAAAAATGTTTCAGGCAAGATCCCTACCCACAGGGTGACTATTCATCAAACAAACACATGTGAATTAATTGAAGAAAAAATAAGTGCTAAACATGGAGTAGATTGTATGTATATTAGAAATTCAAGAAAAAGAAAGATCAATGTGGACTAGGGTTTTCAGAAAAAGCTTCATGGAGGAGAAAGAAGTAGGTCTTGAAGGGTGAGTAGGGTTTGGATAGGCCATGAGGTGAAGAAAAGTGACATGAGGTGGAGAGACCAGCATGAGAAAAATGAAAAAACCATTAAGTGGGGAAAATTAGGTTTTCTGTCTGAAGGGAAGAGTCCATATAAAGAGCAGGGGGAAACACAGTTATGTATGTCGGCTATTGTTAGATTATGAATGTCTTTGAAAGTGAGAAGAAGGAGTTTGGACTTCTTAGGGTAAAAATCTGAACTTTCCTCAAAAAATATTGAAGAGAAAAAAATGAGATAGCTCTGACAAATGTCAAGGCAAATTCTATTTTCTTTACCTCTTATTTAAAAAATGATTTATTTATTTTATTTTCATTATGGAATAAAACAAGCATTTCCATAACATTGTATATTTTAAAAAGATGATTACACATGAAACTGCAAATCTCTTGTGTACAACTTGCCATTCCTTTTAAACATACATTAAAATTATCATGTAAATTTCTTCTGTTTCTTCCTCTCCCCCATGGCTACCATACACAAATATGTATATATATATGTGTGTATATATGCATATATATATATATGCATGCATATATATATCATCATTCTATGCATACTTCAATTTATCAATTCTTTCTCTGCATACAGATAGTGTCTTCCTTCATAGTTAATTTGGATATTTATAATAGTCAAAATGGTTTAGTTGCTTAGAGTTGTTCTTAAAACAATATTGCTGTTACTGTATACAATGTTGTCTTGGTTCTGCTCGTTTTGTTCTTCATTATTATTTACCAATTTGAGTGAAATAGAAGAATGTTTACAAAAATATAAATTGCCTAGATTAGCAGAAGAAGAAATAGAATATCTTTACCTCTTGACTCAGTCTAGGTCTCCTACATGCAAAGAAACCTCCATCATTTTCCTTGAAAATAGCTCTATTAAGGTAAACAGCATAATACCTAATTCTAACAGAATAACTAGGAGGCTTAAGCAAAGCTTTTAGATGGGAGTTGAGTTATATTTTACATGAACTTAAAAAGTATTTTTGATAGTTATATAACTTGCACCTAAAATAAATGTAGTTACTTATTATAATTTGCTCTTAAAATAGAAATTCACATAACATGAGATGTGTACATTGTGCTTTTGAAATAATAAGTTAGGCAATAACAGATGGGCTGATATAGGGAAGAAGGATAAGATTTATTCTTCTTGGTTTTAGAGGAGAAAGATAAGACCAACGGGTGAAAGTTACAGAATGAAACATTTTGGTTCAATGTAAGGAAGAGCTTCCTAACAATTAGAATAATCTTCAAATTTCTATCATTATTATCTATTGTTCTCCTCCCCCAATACTACATTCCAGGCAAGCTGGCCTTTTTTGTTTTTCAGAAAGGTGCTCCATCTCCTTTTTTAAAATTTAAAGTAGGACTTTATTAATTACAAAATAGTCTGTCTCAGGAGGTAGTGGGTTCTTTATAACTGGAAGTTTTAAAGCAGAAGTTAGAGTAACCTTCTTTTTTGGTGACCTTTGTAGAAGAAATTCCTGAGCAGGGAAGGATAGCTCTAAGATTTCATGACTTGGATGTAACAGAGAAAATTATTGATATGGCTAATATGCCAGTACTAGAGTGTGTTCATATATGAAAACTTAAGCAGAACTAAAAATGTTGATTAAAGACTCTCTGCTAATCCAGTTTTGAAATGTTCTTAATAGTAAGATATGTTTGCTTACTCCACCCCCCTCCCCCAGAGATATAAATCAAATTAGGAAATTCCATGTGAATGTTATAGTGAGAGGAAACAAGAGAGAATGAGCAGTTATGTTCTGTGATCAGTGGCATCCCCTGGGCGAAGAGACTTTTGTAATTTCACCCATGGTACTGACTTGTGCATAGGAAAAACAGTTTTCCCGTGGAAAATAGTAGAATAGCATGGTAGTTCTTTCTTGTATACTCATTAATGTTTTGTTTTTTTTTTAACATTATGTGTTTTGGTTTGGCATTTTCAGTAGGAGAAGACTCTATACCAAACCAAAAAATATTTCCAGGATTGATATCGATGTATAAAACTTCAAAATAGTTGAGTTTCTCTCTTCTTAAGCATGAGGGAAACTTAAACAAACATTTTTAAAGGTGTAAAATTCTTAGAGATATAACTAAATTGTAATAGTGTTGAATGGGAATAAATCAGAGACAAAAATTTTAGAAAGAGCAAAGGAAACTAGGTTTGTTTTTACTAATTTTTCCATTTTTAAAAAAATTTCCAGTTTTTATTTTAAGATTTTATAATTAGTGTATTGGGACTTGGAGTATTATATTAGTTTTTCTTAAACCAGTTAACCTTGTTTTACATTATGGCATGTTGTATTCTATTTTTATGTTTTACATAGCTATTGTAAAGTCCAGGACAGTTTATTTGAACCCCTTGTTTCCATGTGTTAATTTTTCCCAGGCTTCCTCCATTTCCTAGATCCATTCAACCTTTGGGACTCATGGATCATTTATAAGGAAATGCCTTTTTGTAATTTGCTGGCCCCTGCATATATTTTTTTTGTTTGTAATATTTACACAGTTAATTTGACCAGAGGGGAGAAAAAACACTCCTGGAATATGAGTGATTTCTCTTCAGAGTACAAATTTCATTCCAATCAGGATCCCATGATTAGGAACGGGTGTTCAGTCTACTTTGGAATTCAGTGCAGTTACAAAAGCTGCAGACACGAGGTTTTTCAGATGTGGTTGTGAATTGTTGAACAAGACCTTGTTGCAAGTTGAGCATCATTTGGAGCAGAAAGAGAGTAATAGTCTGTCTTCATGCTTCATGTCCTTCACCTCCTTTGGTCTTTAGATGATTCATCTGATTGAAAAAAAAAAGTGTAAATAGTTCTACCAAATGCATCCTTGGAGTTTTGCCCTGGGAGTTATTCCTTGGGAATAAGGGGAGGCATGAAGAATTTGCCTTGTATTATCTCAGAGGATTTAGGACTAAGAGATTGTGTTTACTTTGATCCTAGGTTGGACTAAGAATGGCTAGATGTTGTGTTTCTCTTTTCTAAGCCATAGAATATAGCACTGAGGTTGAAATAAATGATTAGCTTCAGAAAATGAAACAGATAAAAAGATGTCTGTGAGGTAGATCCAAGAAAAGAGAAATCAATGCTATTTCTGAGCAAATCGGCTAACTGCTTGGTGACCCAGTTTTTTCATTTTTCAGGTAGGTAGATAAACCCACATGATCTCCCAGGTCCCTTTTAGCTTTAAAATTCTGAGTTTTGTGCATTCTGGGTTACCAAGGGCAATTCAGGCTGCAAAGATTTTCTCTATTTTCTCTTTTAGGTGATCTGTGTTCTAGATGTACCACTGCACAAAATGTAATTTATTTTGTAGCTCTCTAAGCATTCATAGAAAGGATCAGCTTTATGTGTCAGCTTAATAGACAGCTGCTTGTGTGAAGTGACATACCTTCCCCCTTTCGGGATGTTGTATAAGTTTTACATAGCATTTACATTTTGTTTAAGGCTTTGTTTTCTATTATAAGGTAAAGAACTAGCAATTTTTAAATGGTTCCATTGTGTTCACTTTCATGCAAGTGACTTAGATATAGATCTATATCTCTATCTATCTATCTATCTATCTATCTATCTATCTATTTATCATTTTTCAGTTGTGTCTGACTTTCTGTGGCCCCATTTGGAGTTTTCTCAACAGAGATACTGGGGAGGTTTGTCATTTCTTTCTTTAGCTCATTTTACAGATGAGGAAACTGAGGCAAACAAGTTTAGGTGACTTGCCCAGGGTCATACAGCTAGGAAGTGTCTGAGGCCAGATTTAAAATCAGGAAGATGAGTCTTCTGATTCCAGGTCCAGAGCTCTCTTGACTGTGCCACCTACTTGCCCCAACACATACTTTAGAAGGAAGAAATTTGATAAGCATGAGGTCATTGGGAACTTAAGAAAAGGAAGAAGCAAAGAACATGGAATAAGGACATTGACCCTTTTGAAGGCAAATATCTCCTAATTTACAATCTATCAATAGACTTTCTTGAATACATATCCCCCCCCCCCAATTTCTTGGTGTTTATATATTTTTTGATACTGAATTAAGACATACAAACAGAATTTCTCTATTACCCATTGATGAATGGCATGAATTTTATTGTAAATTATACAATATCAGGTGATAAAATATTTGGTTTGAGATGGTGGGGGGAGGTAATGAAAACTCACTTTTTAAGGTTATACTAGCCTTTTATAGGACATACTTGCTTATGTGCTATGTGGGAGGGCATGCTGGGGTGTGTTAATACATAATCAGTTATATAGTGAAGATCTCAATTTGAAGCTAACTGTTCCATTAAATGTGTGCTAGGACATTGTTTGATAAACATTATGATTATTTCTATTTTTTTTTTGTTCTTTGTAGATGATGGCATGCAATATTCAGATCCTCAGTGTGCCTTGTAAATGTTCTGGTCACATTCCTAATTTATTTGTTATTTAAACAGTAAGTTAACTTTTAAATCTCAGAGATGAAACTTTACTACTCTACTTAAAACAGTATATGAACTATTATTTTCTTTGTAAAATAGATGATCAAGGTAAGATTTGGGGGTGGTGATGTTTAATTTTACTCTATCACTTATGTCAACTGGCTGGATTCAAGGATCTCTTCACATATTTCCAGTTCCTATAATTTGAAGATAGCAAAAAAGACCATTTAACAGATTGTTATTTTTGTTTAACAAATATATCAGAATAAAGGATAGGAATTATAATCTGAGGATTAGGCCCTGGGGGCAGCTCTAGTACAAGTGTCCCATATGCAGATGAGGAAACTGAGGCCCAGAGAGGGGAAGTAATGACCAAAGCCACTCATGCATATACACACACACACACACACACACACACACACACACACACACACACACACTAAATGAGCCTTTGGTTTATTCCAAGACTACCTAAGATGGAGGCACTTATATGGAAGATTCCAGAGAGTTTAGGAGAAGGATTCTACATTGGCTTACCATGTGGGCGGGAGCATCCTCCTCTCATTGGCTATGTGCCAGATCTAGTTTGATCTTTAAATCCACCTGAGGCACAGTCCTGCTCTCTCTATGGTAGTGTTCAAGGATGAAGGGCTCATTCCCTCATAATAGAGGCACCCTGAGGTAAACTGGGTGAGGAGGGGCTACATTCTTTTCCCCTTAGGCTCTTTGGTTCCAAAAACTGGGCTTATGATTTTGGTCCTGTTTTATTTGTCTTTTTCAGTTTTAGGTGCAGAGAGTGAAGTCCCTAACCTGCAAGTTCAAGCCACAAGGACCTTGAAACCCAACATTACAAGTCAGATATTGAAACCAGTTGAGCAGAGAAGCCCTAACAAGGTCCTGTTAAAGAAGCCCAGGGTCCATTAGACTTGATCGTGATAGGATAGACGGATAGGAACTGAGGTAAGCCATGAACCTAATTCTTTTCCCCTCCCTAGGGACCTAAATGGACTAGGGGTTATTATTGAACTTGAAATGTTGGGGGGGGGAATTTTTGTATATTTGTTTTTATTATTTCTTTGAAGTAAATACTCCTTTGTAAAGTCTAGTATGATTGTTAGGGGATTGAATGGAATTGTATTTGTACTCTTAAAATTGAGAGAACATAATTTGTGGGTGCTTGAGTCAGTGGCAGAGATGAGAGATCTCCCAACACTCTAAGGGTACCACAGAACCCTGGGGGAGGGGTAAAATTTGACACTTCGCCTGCTACAGGCAAAGTGTGAATTTATGCAGTCTTGTTGCTCCCATTAAAGCGTAACTTATCACTTCATTCACTGTATTTATAACACAATGTGCTGCACAAAATAAGCAGCTAATAAATACTTGTTGATTAATTGATTTTATATCCTGCTATTTTGCTAAAGCTATTAATTATCTCAATTCATTCATTTGCTGATTTTCTAGGGTTTTCTAAGTAAACCATCCTGTCACCTGCAAATACAGGTAATTTCTCCTTTTATTTGCCATTGTCTATGTCTTAATTTCTTTTTCTGGTCTTATTATTATTGCTAGCATTTCTACAGCTTTGTTAGATAATAGTGGGAATAATAGAAAATAGTGGGCAATGTCTCTTTCATCTTTATATCACCTTTCTTAGCTTTCCCTTAAGTTACAGCACAGATGTTTGCATAAAGTAGACATTTGAAAAATGTTGACTAAATGAATGAAGGAACTATTATCTAATTATCACAAGAAAACCTTTGTCCCTTTCTCTCTCTTCCTTTTGAGCCTAAAATAAATTCCTGTCATAGTTGATAGAGTTAATACAATTCTGTATTTATTCGCTATTTCAAGGATACATCATCTCATCAGGTATGGCTACTTCCCACCCTGACTCAGATTACAATTATTTAGTAGCCAATTTTCAGTTGTTTCTGTGGCTGAAAAATTCATCCCATTGTAACTTACCTGATGAACTTCTTCAGTTTTAACTGGGATGATCTTTGAACTATAAATTTTGTCTTTGGTGATATTTTCAACTTTTCCAATTGAGTAGGATGGACTAAAGGCCAAACTGAACTTTTTGTTGTTCAATTGTTTAGTTATGTCTGACTCTTCATGAGCTCATGGATCATAGCACACCAGGCCCTTCTATCCTCCACTATCTTTCAAAGTCTATCTAAGTTCATGCTCATTGTTTCCATTACACTATCTATCCATCTCATCCTCTGCCATCCCCTGCTCCTCTTGCCTTCAGTCTTTCCCAGCATCAGAGGCTTTTCCAATTAGTCCCATTTTCTCATTATATGGCCCAAGTATTTAATCTTTATCTTCAGTATTTGACTTTCCAATGAATAGGCTGAATTAATTTCTGTAAGGACTGACCAATTTGGTGTCTTTGCTGTCCAAGGGACTCTTAAGAGTTTTTTCCAGCACCATGGTTTGAAAGCATTGATTCCACAGTACTCAGCTTTCCTTATAGTCTAGCTCTGACAGACATACATTGCAAATGGAAAAATGATAGATTTAACTATACAGAACCTTTGTAGGAAAGGTGCTGTCTCTGCTTTTTAGTATGCTGTCCAGATTTACCATAACTTTCCTTCCAAGGAACAAGTATCTTTTAATTTCATGGTCACCATCTGTAGTGCTTTTTGAGCCCAAGGTTATAACATCTGACACTGCTTCCATTTTTTTCTCTGTCTATTTGCTAGGAAGTGATAGTACCAGTTGCCATGATCTTAGTTTTTTTTACACCAAGCTTCAAGCCAGCTTTTATACCCTTCTCTTTTACACTCATCAAATGGCTTCTTAATTCTTCTTCTAGTATAGTCTTTAAGAATTTGTTCCTTGATGAAGTATCATTGTATTAAGGAAAATAAAGCCATAATATTTGCAGTGAAATCAAACATAACAAAGAAATACCACTTATTACTAGTTTTCAAAAGTCATCAACCTCCAGAGAAGCCTCTACTTTATACTATTTTAATTAAACCTGCTCTTCGTCAGTCATTAGCAATTAAGATAAATGTGAAGAATGATTCCTTATTTAATGAGTTTTCTGTTACTTACCAGTTTTCTAGCAGTATTATTTTATATGAATGAATAAAAAAGAATTTATTAAGTACCTATAATGTACCAAGTTAATTGATGGGAATACAAACAGAAATGAGAAAATCCCTACCCTCAAGAAGTTTATATTCTAATAGAGGGAGACAATTTATACAGAGTAATGGTGGCTTGAGAAGAAGTGGGTTTCTTCTCTGGGATGGTAAGCAGAGCCATATGGGAGTAGATTGACGCATCAATTTCTAGTAGCTATGACAATGTTGATTTGATTATCATTCCAGGAGCAGCAGACTTTTAG